CTCAGACAATTCGGTATCAAATATGGATCAAGTCCACTCCTCAAGTCCACAGTCCTAGCCAACGAGGCGTCATTCCTTGGTGCCAAACTTGTTTGCGACAGTACCGGACTTGCGATCAGCAGGCACTCGCAAATCTGCGGTGTCTAACCCAAGCCGAATCACAACTGCCGCCTTACTGGAACTAACATGCATGGCGCATCTCACAAGAAGAAGTTGATCAGAGTCGAATACTTCATGATTTTCATGCCTTATCTCTTTCCGGGAACAGAAACTGAAACAGGAGGATCAAAAACACTTCGATTTTTAGCAGTGGTCGCAAGCACGGCGTATCCCAGAAATGGATTTGTGCTTCCCCTTTTACCCTTATGAAGTTTGGCGCGTTGAGACTACATCAAGATATGAAATCGATTTTTCGAAACAACATGTTCCAACTTCGTTCATACTCGTGAACCTTACGGTTGGATGGTAAACCCTGCGGTAATGATCATTCAGCGGACAGCGGTCGCTCAAGCATCTTCCTTCTAGTGAGTCAGCTTTTCTTCTGAGGACCCCTTACTTCTATGCGCTTACTGATTCTTTGGCCCCGTTTATATACTCCTTATCCCTGAGACGGAGTAGGCGTGGCATTCTGAACATGGCATGGAATGGTTACTCGTGGGATATTCCAATTTGAGACAACTGTCATCTTGTTCTGTGTTGGACAAAGGACATGATTACAACTGTCAAAAATGAAAATATCTCACGAAAACCTTAGCCGCCGTCAATTTCAGTCCTACGCAGCCACGTCTACCGCATCTCAAGGATTTTCAGTGTACCTTGTGACTTTTTCCTCGTTCTTTGTGACTATAAAACGATTTCTCGTAGATTACACCGGATCGGATATGTACACTTGCCGTTCAGTATCGCAAGGCATGAACGTAACCCTATTTGACTGGCAGTATTATTCCCTATTTAATTAATCTTGACTGGCAGTATTATTCCCTATTTAGTTATCGCTTTTATTAATCGGCTTAATATTCGCCTCTGGAAGGCACACCCGTGTTCATTTGATGTTCAGGCTCTTTGGGCATGGTAGTCCTGCGAGGAGTCATGTGGTTATAGCCACTTTCGAGCTCGAAAACATGGTGTAGTTCGTTGCGGACGGTGGGGCGTGTCAGGCCAGTATGGGTGAAACACCCGTTCTCTGCCAATTGCTGAAGCAGTCACGTGAAAAACAGGTTGTGGGAACGATGTGATACGACAGACATGTTGATTACATATACTGTACGTTGCTAGGCTTTATACAGCTGAGTTGGAGAATGAATTGGCACCATGCCAACTCACTCTGTACTGATCGCCCTACGTCCGCCAGCAAACGTACTACATAGTCAGAATGCGCCTCCCGCTCGTTATGGAACCACACCCGGCCCACTGACCACGACGATGCCCAATACTGATTTTCAAGTGCTGCCTTATGGTATGGTCGTTTTGCTACTCCTCTCTCCATTTCGAATGGTGAGAGTGAGGTGATAAAGAGAAAGAGCTGGCACTAATAAGTCAGAGCTCGTCCCACCACGCCTTCTTCCTTAACCACCGCGCGGGGCAGCACTTGACGGGGATTTTGAGCGATGAATTTTTTTTCTAACTTTTGTGATATTTACCGTCTTATCCAATACTGATCCAATACTTTGGAGCAGTGTTGGACAATCTGATCCAATAGTTTGGGCAGTTTTATAAAGTCGTTTGAAGGCTCAGCGGTAGGGTAACCAATTCTCACGAAGCAAGGTACAGCACCCGTCGTAATACTATAGCGGAGAGAGTTTACTTTCTTTTGTAAATTACGAGATTGTTAGGAAACACTTGTACATAAGGCCCAACGTTCCGATTGCTTCTTCATCAATAACGTCAGAGCCCAGCGTTCCCTAATGTCTGAGGCAGAGAAAGCCGCTGGTACACGAGGGCATTAGTCGCATGTAATAGTAACCTATCACTACGGTGGTCAGCATGTACGGCAACGGTCAGCATGTCTGAACGACATACACCTGCTCGGTATAATGTACTAACTTCCTAATCGCTTCTCGATTCGTCCCGGATTCTCCAGTTCTCCAGAACAACACGTTTGCTTTCCTTTTTGCGGATTCTCAGGGAGCGATTACAGCTGTTATCACTGAAGTCAGTCGGGGCGTGTCAGCAGCGCGTGAGTTTTGATGCGGAGCCATTCTGCTTTCCATCGATCGTTACGGCTTCAATCATTCAATGAGTGGTGGTAAGGGGTCTGGCCGTCATCTTCATCACACACACACACACACACACACACACACACACACACACACACACACACACACACACACACACACACACACACACACACACACACACACACACACACACACACACACACACACACACACACACACACACACACACGACTTCGTTGTCAGTGTAAAGACTGTAATCCAGAGTCATCAGTGTTCGTACGATGTGAAAGAGATTCTGTATCTCTTGACTGGTTCCGAACATTTGGAAATCATGTATCGCGTTCAGTCGTTGTGCAGAACCCTTTTTTTGGACAAGGTAGTCCAGCTCGCAGGCACAGAGGACGTGCCCCATTCGCGATTTTTGAGAAATATGATACGGTAGCGGACTAACGCGCCACGCACATTTCATTGACGGTATGCAATGCCCGCCTACTCTCCGCAACACGCCCGAAATTCATCCCATCGACGCCGGCGACGGTATGTCGGCTGTTTTGCTGCGCCGCTCGGTTCTCGTTCCAGATGTAGTTGATAAGAGAAGTGACGGCGTCCGAAATCGCAAGTGGTACCAACAAGTGGCGGTGGGCGCTCGCAGTCACGCCCTTGCTCTCCGTTTGCTCGGATCAGTAGGGGATCTTAGGTAGGGCAGACGGTATTTTCCTGCTTTTGCCTTTACTATGAGTTTTATAGAACCCTGTCATACGCAGTTGAGTTCATCACCCACCATTTGTCACCAATATCAGTTTGTGGAAAGATTTGCTCTTCCCTAGGGCAACTATTGTGCCCTTGGTCGGAGTCTTATGAATTTCTCTCCAGCTCACCGATCGCAGCTGAACAAATCCGCATGGAATTGCTACTGAAGTTAGGAACAACTTCATCACAGGAGAATCGCCCTGAAGGTACAACATCATTGGGGGATCGCATCAGGGGGTCATTACTTGACACGGAGAGGGTCCGTATTGCGCGCATAGGGGCCTAATCTGGCCTTTATAGGACTTTTCCGGGCTGCGATAAAAGATTCGTTACTGATGAAAAGTTTCAAATTTTCCCGTTTCATGTACGCTGTACCCCCACCCCTCCCTTCCGCTCAACGGAGGTTTTCATGTGAGAGAAGCGGAAATTCTTCGGAATATTGGGAAAGAGATTGTAAGTTGGGAACTAAGGAAGTTGGTAGGACATAGCGGAAACAGGGCAACCTGATGAGGTAAGGTTTGCTGCCACTGCATCGCGACTTCTTCCCCGAACTGTTCGGCCTGGAAATTTCGAAAAATGTCGTAATGGTTCATCCAAACACTGAAAAGTCTACTAGCGAATGGCTCGTACGGAGGCATTGACTTTCCCCTTAGCAGTCACCGCAACTGCAAACTGAAGTGAAAGCAGTGGATTTAAAGGACGTTTACATGCGCACGGCGGGTGTTCCTGGAGCGATCGCTATCCAATTACCGTGTTGTGGGGGCGTGGTTTCGTCGCATGCATGCTGCTCGCCCAAATTTCACGGTTTCATTGCCAGCTTGTGTCTTCTTTGATCGACTGCGGAGTGTATTTGTTCGTTTCCTTTTGTTTCCTTACAAGTTGTGTTGTACTAGAAGTGGAGCTGGCTTTCTCTCTTTCTCTCTTCCCTACTCAGTGAGGTCTGGTAACCTGAAATCGATTTCGCAATGCATGTGACATGTGGTTTTTAGGCCACCTGGCTTTCTTCTCGTCCAGTTTCCTCTGTTTTAGTCGATATTCAAAATGAAGTTGTTTACAGGTAATAAATGGAGGGTGACAAGCGTGATCTTGCGGATCTTCTCAAGGAGGGAGGTATTGGCAGTGAGGTACCGGAAATCATCGAGAAAAAGAATCCAATGCTGTAAAAAACGTTGTTTTGCGCTCATCAGAAGCGTTCAGTGGACCAGCATCGAGTAAGCAGAACGTCGCTTTCCGAAAAGCATATCTTAATGATGCTAATAATCCTGATTTGGGTGCCGAAGCCAAATTTCTACGAGCGAGTCCATCGCTTGAAAGAAGCGAGTTTGAACGAGTTCAACAGCTTACGCACAGCGTAGAATTTTAGTGTGACATACCGCGACGCTTTATTAACGATAAAAGTCGTTGCCGGTGTATTGGCAAGGTTCCCCCCTTTATGGATGCGCCTGCATGTCTATTTCCATTCAGCAATCGTAGTGGCTAGTTGAATACGACTGTGCCCATATACAATGAATTTGTCGCCACCGGTGTACAACCAGTGTTTTATCCTCCCAGACGAAATCTCTTTAACATTTACCGTCCCGAAGGGTAAAAGGCTGAGTTAGCGCTGGGCCGGGAGTCGACCAGCGATTCGCAACCCGGCGCGCCGCCGAGTGTAAGCGCGACCACTTAGTCACATATAGACCACCTCCGCCTCGACGACTTCATTCAACGACAAAAAGTGATTTTGCAATAAAAGTAGATCGTAAGGAGCTTTGGGGTTGATGACGGTGGTTAAAGTCGTGGTCATGCCCCCCAGGCTTATGCAAAAATCGTCGGTTTCATGTGTCTGAGGAGGGGCCATTCTGTTTCTGCGCCTAGAGTTCGGAGAGAGATCTGCGGTAAAGTTGCTGCTTCGTATCTTCCAACATTCCAAATTGGTAAGTAGTTGTCCCACCTCAATGCCACTTTACCCTTGGAAATTGAGAGCAAGCTAGAAAACGCCGACGCATTATTAGACCGTGTTCATACTTGACGGCAGCGTTTTAAGCGTTCGCCAACGTTCTGAGGGTCTACCAGCCTTTTGAGCACTCGCCTACGTTTTCAGCTATGGCCAATCTCAGTACTTTCCTATTCGTTCGAAACGCTGGCGCAAAGTATGAAGGCTTTTTCACAGCTGGCTCTCCCCATGTCAAATCTTCATCCCATGGCCAACAGTGTTTTCAGCGTAATGTATTTATAGGAGACCCCCAGCCAGCTTCCATATTCCTTCGCATAATCAAGACTCAACTAAAGTATTTCTCTTTTGCGGAACCATCCCTCGGCGACTTTTTATTACTGGGCCGTGTGCCCAAGTCTTATTGGAGGAGGAATGCAGAGGCGCAGCCAGGTTGGTCCAAAACAACGTTAGCGCCATATTTCCCCCTACCTTTCCCCGATCTAAATATTGTGCACTACCAGTAATTCAAATAAATGCCTTGAAAGAGTCCATGAAGCTCCCGTGGTCTCGTGGAGTATAGCACAAAATGCTGTCACCCCAGTACCTTTTTGTTCAAATCATGTGGATTTTTATTTTGTCGTTCCAGCGAAGAAAGATCGTCGCTGGTGAGTATGAGCCCACTGACGAGGAGTCCAAGCTTCCGATCATCCATGGCTTGGAGCCAGACGAGATTAAGGTATGTGTATTGTAAGTAATTTATATAGCTTTGGGCTCTCCTCTAATGTCGTCTATGCTAATTAACTGTGGATTATTAGATCCCCCTTGTAAGCTTACTAGAATCGCAGCGGAATGTTCTATAGATACTTGTTTTCGAGAGCTAACGTTCCACGCTGCTTCCTGACGAAGTGGCTGAGTTCTTTTAGACGTCAACCTGCGCTAGCCTCGTTTACTAAGACAAGATCAGGGATCAGAGTTTTTCAATACTTAGGTGGAGATTTGTTCTATAAAAGACGTAACTGTTTCTTACCGACCGGGTTCCCTGCACGGGTTGTTATGAAATTTCTACTTCGTTACTACCTAATTTATGTCAATCAGCGTTTTGCAGGCCCTCAATGAAAAGTCGGAACCTGATGATGGCTCGAAAGGAGTGCCATCGTTTTGGCTTCACGTTTTGAAAGGATCAGACATGACTCAGGATATGATCCAAGAGCATGACGAACCCATCCTGAAACACCTCACTGACATAACCACTACAATTGAAGTCGATCCCCACGTAAGTGTTCTACGTTTTTATTTTGTCTGCATTTCATAGTTCTACGTCCTGTTTTGTAATTCTGATTTTACAAGCATTAATTTTGAGGTTATAACGGTTCGGTTTGTTAGATTGTGATCGATTTCTATTGCAGGGATTCACCATCTATTTCCACTTCTCTCCCAATGAGTATTTCACTAACACAGTTCTAAAGAAGCAGTACT